TCAGTGGTGCCAAATGATCTACAAGGAAGTTTGAATTATACTCCGAGAGAAGCTAAATGTTTGTGTTCCTCCACCTTTTGATACAAGAAGTATTAGTTTCTTTGACAAGCTTGAATAATCCTTAGATCCAAACCCACACTGTATTAACAATTCCTCTGTTAAGCCTGATGCTCAGGCTTTGTCCTGAAACTGGACCAATACTGAAAGTGGAAATGTTTTTAAAAGCTGCTGTTACACAAGGCAAATTCTTATCAATACAGAAAATTTCTGTCCTGATTTGTATGACAGCTTTGTCCTCACAAGGCATGGATTCAAGTGGATGTGTTTCTGGCAGCTGTAGGAGTGGGTACTGTAGAGATTTACAAAGATGGACATTTATGAGACTGAAAATGCTCTGTTCTTCCGAGCTTGTTAAAATGAAACAGATCTGAAACCTATACAAAAGAAATGAATGAAATAATTTCATCACTTCCTTTTTTCTTCTCAGTCTAAACATATCTTTAAACATGAATAAATTGCTGTTAGATAAGAGCAAGTGCAGCAAAATAGTCTCATTCACTTCTTTTTTCATATTCTAGTGATACCAATATAGGTCTACAAAATAATAAAAGGATATCCTTGTATTTCACCTAAAATGTCTGAAAATATATAATGCAGTTAAAGGCATAGCAATGAAGCTTTTCTCTTAGTCTGTAAGGTGCTTGGATATTAACTGAAACTGCAACTTGAACAAGTTAAACTCATACAGCTAAAAGCAAATCCCAGAAAACAGTGTATAACTACCTTTGCTTCCAATAAGAAATTGGCCTGCATCTGCAAATCTCTTCATTTGGCAGCTACACCTAATACAGTTTAAACTCTCACTGGCATCAGCAAAAAATTACCTGATTAGAGATGCAGGATTTGATCTAAGATAATAGCATATTAAAAATCCACTATGGATTCAAAAGCTACTAATGGAAATTAAATCCCTGAGAATATAAAATGTTCCAAGCAGTTGAACAGTTTCCATTGTACATACTCAGAATGCTAAAGAATAGCAGCTATTGCATGTGTGACCATCAGGAAACACAGCTGTGCTTCTTTGTGTTACAATTAATTACTTCCGTTGTATATAAAATTGAAAGTATTGGTACTCTGGGGCGGAAAAAGGATATCCTGATACACTGCTCCTATTTCCTTACCAAGGCCTATTACTGAATGTTTCACCATTAATTCACTTACAATGAATTACCCTGCAAGGAATGAAGGAAGGGTTGATTGGGTGGTTAATTGTTATGCTAAAAGCTACTTTTTCTTTGGATTTTCACTCTCCTACGTTTTTATCTCATTTTACTACTTTTGCATGTTCCCTCTTTGATAGTAATTGTTCATTTTTAAGTACTTGCACTTAATAATGAAGGTCTAAAATAAACATTTACTTAACTATCTTTTGACTTAAAGATTGTTCTATTAATATTTTTTAAGTTACAAGATCAGAGAAAGCACAATCTTTTCACTGTCTCTTAAAGAAATGAACAAAATCATCTCAACTGAAGTATTTGTGGCCAGGTTCTCTGAAGCTGGCACACAGAGATGCAATTTATATTTTTCTGTGCCAGTGAATTTCCCTAAGCTGGAGGGGAATGAAGATTCTTACCCAGAGTTAGGGAGGAGTAGTAACAGCCCTCTGTTATGCTTTTTTTTTTTTTTTTGGTGAGAATTGCATAGGAGCAAGAACTGGTTGAGGTTATACTAAATAGGCAAATACGGAGCCTAAGGATATACACTAACCCCAAACTTTAATATTTACTTTTTAATAACTGACTCTTTCTTTTTAGAGAACTTCTAAACAGAGAGCAGCTTCTGTGACTGCTTAGGAAGTCAACAAAGTCTCCAACAACCATCAACCATGTAAGTCTATAAAAGGTGGATAACGTGTTCTCTATTTGTCTCTGAGAATTTAATCTCTCAGGATGTGTCTCCTGTCCTAGAAGTCTGACAGTGTCACCACCAGACTGTTTCAAATCTATTCTAGAATGCCAAACACAAAGCTGAGTAAGTTACATGTGGAAAACATGGAATCCTTCAATGTGAGAATAAATAAATTTTGTCAAATGAGCTAAAACCTTTTCAAGTTTGAATTCAGACTGGTGTCACGATGCTGTAACAGAAGAATGGCAGCTCAGAAGAGCTCCCATTCCAGAAACTGCTTTACATAATAAAAATGGCAGAAAATCACCATCCATGAAACAGCCCTGTTGTCCTTTTGCTGCCGCAGCTGGCACTGGGAATACAATCTCAAAGGCAAACTGTGCCCTGCCATTATTTGATAACCACACGGTTTAGATTCACGTATGCCCTGAGGCCACAGCTAGAACCAGAATCCCTGACTAGCACTCTGGATTTCTTGCAAGGGCTTTTTGGCCAGAAGTAGATGCCGTGTGGTGCACATGCAATAAAGCAGAAACTTTCAATTAGTGTCATTTATATTGTGTATCCACAATAAATCTCAGGAAGTCTGGTATTTGCAGGATGCAGTGGGCTGAATACACTCACATGAGCAGCGCAGCCCACTCTGTCACCTTTTACCCTACAGCTTACAGGCTTGTGTAAGGAACAGGAACTCTGCTCAGGCTTCTCCATATCCATTAATCACAGGGAAATTTACAGTATCTTTGGAATCAGTACAGGGAAAAAATTTGCAGGAAGAAAATCTGTCAAGGAATGTGCAGGGGACAGCAGAAGAATATTTTGTTGTGAAAGAATAATACCTGGTCTTTGTTTATAATGCACAAATAAAAATTTTATTCCTGAAATCCTATTTTTTACGTGAAGCCAGATTTTCGGAAAGTGTGCCCTTTTTTTCTGCTTCCACATCTCCTGTGTTATCAGAATTGTGGAGTTGTTACTTTGTAAAGCACAAACACCTAACAGATAACAAAACCCAGGTCTTGAGGTACACTCAGATTTGTGCATTATTCTTAAGCTATATTCAGTAAATGGACTATATGATAACAATTTAGGCTCACATAAAGCAGGTATGAAACACACCCATTTGAAGGATATCAGAATCTCAGTTCTGAGTGTTTTAATCCACATATATGTCCACACATGCATATAGGAATGCTTGCATTAGTCAACATGAAGATTTCTTTAAATGAAACTAAACCTCGATCCCAGCATTATTTTCCTGTCTACATATGATTAGATCTTAAAATAATTTAAACAATGTAAATCATTCTTTTGTTTTGAAATGAGATCTTTAATTAAGGGTATAGGTTTTTATTAAACCTCCTAAAAATCCAAAACATCCTCTTTAATGTACCATGAGAATAAAACAATCTAGAACAGCGAGTTTTCTGGCTTCAGTGTAGCAAGCAGCATTCATTCCACAAGCACTGGAAGAATCATCACCTTCATTCAATTCAAGGCTATATTTTTATCTATATCTTCTAATTAAAAGAAAATTAAATCTCAACTCTTTTTCAGTAACAGTATGCACAGTAAAACTAAGTAGAAGCAGAAGAATTTCTGTAATATTTTTGTCATTAATGAAAATAATCTGATTTCTAAAGTAATAAGATTAGAAAATACTTTTGTAGTAGAAGCAGATTTATTAATGATACTTTATGCATACTAATTGATTATTCCTGAACAGTTATAATCTGGAAACTTTTAAAGGAAAAATGTTTTGTTCAAAAGTTTAGCTTTGTTAAAGAAAATCTCTTCTGGTCTTTATTACAGAGAAGATTCTTGTGACTCAGCCTGACAGTCCTTATTAGTACAACACACATTTGTTAGTGTTTTCCTTTGATGTAATCTTCCTAGGAGGGGGAGGAACTGTGTTTTAACAGCTATTCAAGGGCACATTTCATAGGAACACAGCACAGTGTTCCCGAATATATATGCCTGAATATAGTCTGAATCTCATCCACAACTCTGATTTGCCTGTGAGAACAAAGCATTTCATTGTGTATTCAATAATGATTTCAGCAATCTTATTCACACATTCCTTCCTTTCTTAATCAACAGAAACGGGCTGAATTCAAGATGCATGATTGGGGTAGGAGGGGAATACAATGCCAAAGCCTATACTTTTGAAATCACCATTTTCTTCAGAGCAATAATCTCTCTTTAAGAATCTCTGTTAAGAATCCCTTAATGCAACACTTGTCAAGCCTTTTGCACCATGTCCTTTCCTAATGAACTTTGCTCTATTCACTTTTTCCACCCTGTCAGCTGGCATGGTGCTCTGCTTATGCCTCTATTGCTTCCAGTTCCAACAACTGAACTCTCCAGGGATCACAGTGCACAGTTTAGGGAGCACTGTCTTGTGCAAAGGTCAAAGGTCAGAACAGACAATCTGAAAACCAGCAATTTTATCTGACAAAATACTGTGTACGCTCTGGGCATTCTTTTCAATTGCATTTCCTTATGCACACTGTAAACAGAAATCAGGGCTGGAAAATAAAATCAAAAGTGCACAAAGTTGTGATTCCTGATGCTGTACTTGGTAATGGCATCTAAATCCAAGTCTGCCCATTTATCATCTAACTTCTTAATTATATTTAGTATACCTAGTTGTATCTCTAAAATGCCTGTATTTCTGAGGGGTGTGCAACAGGAATGCACAAAATGGCTGTTTTTGTAAAAGACAGTGTTGTATGAGGTCATCCCTTCATTTGTACAAATTTCTTGGCACTAGAGCTCTATGAGGGTGTTTAAAACATTTTGCATATTTTAAGTAATTTTTGCTAAGAAATGGAAGAACACCTACCTGAACTTATGTAGTCAAACTTTGTTTGCAGATGTGTCAATGTAACTGAAGACAGAATTTACCCACTCCTTACAAAGTTACTATAAACAGTATTTGTTGACACAATAAGGTCTGGGACTATACAGGTCTTGCTAAGTTACAACATGTACTGTTAGCAGACTGCATCTTTTAAGCATACTAATATTTGTTTAAAGCAGCGTTATTTGGTCAATAAAATATTCAAGACTGATATACAATAAAGTTGAAACCAATGCTTTTAATTTTTATTTTCAGGTCTGAAGTAGAGAGTACAAGCTTGAGTATGCTTTCTTACTGATATTACATGGCTAAAAGCTGTCAGCTGTTCACATGGCATATTAATAAATATACCCAAATCATAAAGTTTAAACTGTATTTGCACATTGCTTTTATTACTAGACTGTTTTATTCATGTTGGCACAGATAATCCATGCAACGTAATTACTCACATCTCATAAACCACCAGACATTCTGTTCTGAAATAACTAGCAACTTAGGAAAAAATATCTATCTAAAAGCAAGGGCACTTGTGGCATCAAGTCAACATGTCAAAATATTATAAAACCTAGACTTCTAATATATGATCACTGCAGGCAATAAATCACTCAGTTTCAAATTTTGATGTTTATAAATACTAAACAAATTAATATCCACTATCAGGAGACAAATATTGCAAACAAACATTAGTGTGCCCAGCATTAGACACTAATGAGTGTGTTCAGTGCTGTGGACATTCACATTATTAAACATAAATACAAGTAATCTTCAGCAAAACATTTCACCCAAAGTACTGACCACTGAAGGACCAATGGAAAATATTTTTCCTTGTTTTGAATTGATTTTAGAATTGTGTAATGTGTGAATCTAATATAGTAAAAACTAATGAAAAGAAGTCCTAAGATTGTTTTATTTTGTCCAGATAATAAAAGTAGCCTTCTTTGGAAACATTTAATTTGCCCTGTTCTGCAAAAAAGAACCCCAAAAGAGAGAAAAGAATTTAAAAAAGCTTTTGAATCCTTTGACTGAAAAGTTATTGAACACTTTTTAGTTAGACAAAAGACTGATCTTTTAAATTGATCATTCAGAGGTACAGTATCTTTGATTTACTGGGTAAAACCTCACATTAATTAGAATTAAAAGGAATATTCAAAAGAACTTAGGACTTATCCCAGGCATTTCTTACAAGACATAAAACATAATCAAGTACACATTATTCATTTTGCATATTTTTGTACATTATTTTCAGTGATAGTTCAAAGGCCATTTTCTGAATTTAGAGATACATATATTATTATATATATATATATGCATTTTACCCTCTCCCTATCACAAAAGTGACGTAGCAGAAGAGTATCAGCAGTTATGTGGTATTCTACCCCTGTGAAAGTTAAAATGCTACATTATTTATTCACGAATTTCTGGTTCAGATATGTGCAAAAATTATATCCTAATATAGATATCAAGGGCGGGTACGTGGATTCCCTGTTTTTGGACCACATTATGAAGCAGCACAAGTCATAACAGGAAAATTTTATTACATGATAATCCTCAGGGTATCTCTGTTCTTCATTCAGAGATATCACCGTAGCTCATATAGTGCTATGTAAACTCGCTTTAATCTCACTCGCTCAGGCACCAGCTGGAGGCAGGGCATGCAGCGCAGCTTCTCTGCCCAAGGAAATCTTCAGGACTCTCTCAAGCCAGCACGGCTCCCTCTGAGGTCTGCGCTGCTGCCCCCCTGCAAGCCAGCTCAGCCCTGCTTACATACCCTGCATTCCCTTCCCTGCAGTCCAGGCTTCAGATTTACCAGATTGTATCCTTGCTCACCCCTCTGAACGTATTCAAACCACCTCTCTGGGCTATCGGGAGCTACTTCCACCCTTATTTCCTACTTGGAGCCCTCTCCCTGACTGTGGTGAGTCATCCTGGCTGCCCCCCACCCCACCTCTACTCTGACCTGCCGGCTTGGTGAAACCGGCCTGACTTGGCTGCTCCTCCCCTCCAAGCCCTGCCTCAGGACGGGCTTCCCGTGTCCTCAGTGCCTCATCTTTCGCCACTCAGGGAGGCCCGCAGAGCCCCTGCATTCCGGCTGTCTCAGGTTCTCTCCCCGGTGAGATGCCAGCCTCTCCTCCCCTCCCCTCCCCTCTCCTCCGGGCAGGCCCCGATTCCCACACCCCGCCCCACGCCGGGAACTCCGGCTGCCACTTCTGCCCTACGCAGGGACCTGGAGGAAGCTCAGCCCCAGCCGTGCTGCCTGCCAGCGGCTTCCCAGACTCTACTCCTCCCTAAGCTGCAGCCCGACATGCCTGGCCAGATCCTAAAATGATTTATCCTTCGTGCTGCCACGGAGAGGAGTCTTACAGGGACACGGAGGGGGAAGGTGGAGGGGAGAATGAGACACACACATAAACACACGCGGATCAGAGGGGAAAGACCCCGTGAAATTCTCCTGAAGCATCATCACAAGCCCTTCCCATGGAGCCTGACTCCCTGTTCTGATGTTGCAGTCAGAGATTAGACCCTGTCAGTGGCCAACACTGACACAAATCTGCCTAAAGAATATCTTCAATGCATTCTCAGGAGAGAGTATGCTGATGTGAATTCTCTCAAAGAACAATTAATAATAAACAGCATTTTTTCGAATGGCACTGAAAAATGAAAAGGAAATGTAGAATTTTCTCACTTGTGTGAATATGTATTTAATGAAGTCAAATAGGAGTGGAAAAATATTTAACTTCCATAATTATGATTTATTCCTCTGGAGAATATTATGAGCCAGATTTTTGGATTTTATAATCTGTGAGACCGTATTCACACCAGCCCAGCACCAACTGAAAACAGAAAATTTGCTTACTTATAGAAAAAAAGAAAAAGGAAAAAAAAAAAAAGAAAGGAAAAAAGGGCTTTGTGTATAATGTACTAGTGTTTAAGAATAATTCATGCATACAAAAATCTGACCCTGTAGCAATGGAGATCAGATCACTGCTAAGATCAGTGAAAACTAAGATACCTACTGAATAAATACAAGTCATACATGTCAAAACTGCCACAGGCAGTTCACGCTGTTATTTTTGTCCAAGATGCAGACTGCCTGCAGCTAACTTAGCTCTTATATTAGAACTCCAAATTTCATTTAATCCTCCCCCAAGCTTTGGATAGTTTTTCATCCCTTAAAAGACACACAAATGAAATGGGCATTACCCATGGGAGGGACAAGACAGACAATGTTATGTAATTTTTTGCTACTCAGAACACAAGGTAAAATAGGTGCAGATGACACCAGCATGTGGCCCACAGAAAGCATCCTCAGCCTCAGAAGTACTAATTCAAAACTGTCAGTACTGCAAGCTGTCAACACACACATCGTAATTCTCACTTAAATGAGTTAATAAGCTTGAATGGTGATCAGACTTTCCATCTTAACTCCATCAGACAGAACTGCTGTCTCAAATATAAAATTGATATTCAAAAATTCAAAAGTATTATCAGTACTACAGGTATTGCTCATTTGAAAGAAAGAGTTTTATAAAGAACTGTTTGACTAACTTGAAAGTTATTTTCAAACTATTAGGATCGATGCCTGTATGGTTATTAGAAAAGATGACTGTATGATTATCCTCACTGTTAGAACATAGCTACTGCTTTCCAATGGCAAATACTGCTACAATTCATGATGTGTTGCATTTAAATTAAGGAAAGGAATAGAGTATGTGCCTGCTACCTTAAGAATTTTTGATCATCATTCATTCACTTTAGGAAAAAAAAAGCCTTTTTCCTAATTATGTGAGATACAGTAGGGAACTTTTGCAAGCTATTTCCCACAGCCTAGCTGTGCTAGATGGATGAGTTTCTTCTGACCTTCACCGGTGTGAAGGTCCAGACGTAGGTTCCTACCTCCCTCTGATATCAGTGGGAATTAGAAACCAAAGCAAGATTGAATCTCCTTTTCTGCAGAAGGAAAGGAAAACTGGTTTTGAATTAAAAGTTGGCCTTTCCAGCCAGCTCTATTCCATTCAGTGTAAGAGCAATTCAGAGAAAGCCAGTTGTCCTTTTCCATTATGATTTGAGAGTGAATTATCTACTGTGCACATAGAAGCCAAGTGCACTAGCAAGGCTGACCCAACCATTTTATTTTCAAACTGTTATGGATTGTCACCTAGGCTTCCCACCTACATATGGATCCAAGGAAGACTTGTTATTTGGAAAGAATCTAAAATATCTGGTGCTATGAGGTAGCACCACAACACAATGGAATAGCATTCACTTTTCCTAGAGGAAGCCCTAATCTATTTTATTTCCCTTTGAAAGCTATGGCCTTTGGTTCTACAGATGACTGTACATATGGCACTTACTCATTATTGCTGTGAAAGAAAAATGACCTAATACAGAAGTATTTTCCCAGTTGTTTTTAAACACCAGTGTGTGGTCTAAGCAGTAAAACTGCTGCGGGTAGTTAGCTTAAAACTATATTTGCACATTACTTTTTATATTAAGGTTTTTAGTTAATTTCAATATTTCTGCCATCTGTTGCTCTAATAATGGATTAGTGCATTAGTTCACTTGATATTGACTGTTCATTCAATAGGTTTTTGTATGAACTTTGCAAAAAGCACATTCTGCATTTATGAAAGAGGATAAAGTTAAACTCGAGAAGTACCAACTTCTAGCTTTTACCGAGAGAAATGCTAGCCATGGTTATCAACTTTATGATTGCCCAGTCAGTCATCTGTTTTACCCCAGCATTACTGACTACCAACTCTTCTTTTAAACATTGATGGCATGGGCATGCTTCTTGCACAGTGGCTTGTCCTTCTTGGAGTAGAATGGCTGACCTTCCAAATTCACATGGCAGACCTAAAATTAATAATAAGTGCAATCAGGAATAATTAAAGAAAAAGGGATAAAGATGTGACTATCAGTTTCAGCTGTACTGATCTTCTGCCTATGCATTTCTTTGGTGATCTTTAGGAGTTATGGATTGATTTGCTGTTGATTTAACCCACTGAAGGAAATAAAGTTAAGTCCTTAAAAAGAACCCTACTGTGAGAATTGCATATTAACAACATATAATAAAACTATCACTCCCACAGAAAACAGGGTAGCTAAGGCAAATGAACAAGCAAAAAAGAAACATGAAATATTCAGAGAAAGTATCTTTATAAGTGATCAATATTTATAAGTGATTAAAAGCTGTTACCTTGTGAAGGAAACTTGCTTAATGTTCCATGTTGGAACTTCCAAAATATTTAAGTTTTCACAGGACACATTTTTGCAAAGCTAGTTTAGCTTCGGATATTTATAAACATTTCTATACTGTCAACTATTCTACCTAATTTTTAGACTTAAACAAACATTAGAAATTGCCACTGTTGGTTTGGTGTTGCCAACATACTATTTTTAGCTGATTAGAGATTCTAGATATTATTACTTTTGGAATAATATGTTGCAGATCTGCTCAGTGGTATTAGAACCAGATGAAAGTACTGTTTATCATATGGATTTTTCTGCTTTGTGTGCAGTGTGTGGGAATATGTGGGCCACATGCTAGAGCTACGTGCACACCACAGATTGATGAGTTTGACCAACTTCTATGTTAATTACTATTCCCACTCTCTAAACAGACTTCTTTTTGCAAGTTTCAACAAGCATTCAGCATGGAAATACAAACTTCACTGCTTTGTAAGTAAGATTATGGTTATACTGTTCGGTATGGTGTTAATTTACTTTCAGTCTTGCCCTATCTTTATTTGGCAAACACTGGAAAGAATAACAGCAATAGTGCTCTTTACTTCTGTATATAATATCTAAAAGTGGATGTGTTATTAGAAAACACTCATGATGGTCAAATTTCATAATTCTAGTGAAAGTTATGGAGAAGATAAATTACTCCTATCCTTCTCCAAATGCAAGCAAAAAATTAGATTCCATCCCTCTGCATCCTTGAGCATATGTTACCAGTTATTGCTGCTTTTAGGTTTCCTGGTGTTACTACACAATTTAAGAGTATAAAGGAACGAGATAGTATTTCTTGTAGAACCTACAGCACAAATGAAACAGGTGTCATGCCAAGTGTGTCCAAGAGCTTCAATGAATTTATCTCCAGCTTCAACAGGATAATCACAGCCATGACATTTTGTGCTGAACAAAGCAATATAATCTAAAATGAAACAAAAAGAAAACTTAGACCAAACTCTTAACATAATCATACTAAGTCCAAAAGAAATAGAACATTTCAAGACAGTGAATGTTTTGATTGTTTTTACTCAGATTCCTACTACATTTACTGAAATAATCCTACTGAAATTTGCTTTTCTTTCATTATTTAATTAGTAGCACAGTCCAGAATCCCCCATTAGTGTAACATTTATCATTACAAATGTAGAAGACATACAAAAAGTCCATGGAATTTGAAGTTATGTTTCTCACATTATTTTCAATTTAGCTTTAGTATATGTGGAATCTGTTCATAGGACAAATATGGTTATACAAAAGAGTCTAATGACAAGGGAATGTTACAAGTTTCCATGCCTGGATTAATGCTCTTTTTCCATAAAGAGAGAAAATTATGGAAACCCCATACTGGCTGATTAATACGTCTTTACTTTGTCAAGTGTGATTTGGATAGGCTTGACATTGAAAAATATTAGTGGAAATTCCAAAGGTATATGGAATTCATGAGAATTATTTGAAGTTCAGACAAACCCTCCAATTTTAAAGGGTAGGTACCCAGCCAGTCATGCTATATGGCTTTTGTTCTTCACCAAGAGCTACTCTGACTTGTAAAATCTGAATTGCATAACCATAAGGAAGGAATCTCCAGAGATAAGTAGGCCATGAGCTCACTGAACGCACCAAGGGAATACAGAGGGAATACCAATTAAACATTAACCTCCTTCCTGCCTATGTCAGGCAACTTGTTTGCATGGCAAGTACCATTTTGGGAAAACATGGCATTTTTTTTTCTTAGTTGGCAAGAAGCAGTTTGTTGCAGCAGCCAGGAAGCAAAATCTGCACTAGCATGTGCTGCACATCTGTGCAGAGCTATCTTCTCATAAGTGTTGGCTGAGAAATTCTAGGGTGAGGCAACAGCATCAGAGGTCACAGCTCCAGCAACTCAGTGGGATTGTGGGCAGCCCTAGAAGACTAATTTTTCATTTCTGGTGAGCAGAGTCTACCAAGGAGGGGAGTGGAACAAGGGAAGATGTGTAGGGAAAAAAGTACGAAGTATGATAATACAGAAGGGAGAGAAGTGAGGGAAGGCATTGTGGACACTGAGGCAAAGACCAGCGCTCTACCATTCTCTCATATAAACTGGAGAAAAATACAGAGACACAACACTTGTATGTGTGGAGAGAGGAAACAAAATCCATGCAGGATGGGTATCTGATATTATTTTGTTCACCAGCTGCTTTATTCTTGTGTTGCTTCCATGAACACAAAGCACACAATTACTGTGCAGAACTGTCCAGACTGCCATACCTTTCTCACAGTAAGGCTCACCATCCTCCATGTGGAACAGGCTATTCCCAAATGGTTTCTTACAAGCAGCACAGACAAAGCAACTTGTGTGCCAAGTCTGTCTTAGGGCATGCATCACTTCCTGTAAAACAAACAAACAAACATACAAAAATCTCCAGCAGACTAGCCAGCCCTGCAACTTCCTCCTGGAGAACAAACACAAGGCAGAGATGCTCTAAATTCTTCCCTTCTGTATCAGCCAATTTTCCTCCTCAAAAGAAAGAATTATGACAGAAATTGGGCTCCTTTTGGAAACAAAGAGGAAATAGGACTGCAAGCTTTCTAGAACAATGTATTTGCCAAAGTAAAACAACATGGTTCAGCCAGCAGTTTGTATCAACATGCCCAGTCACTGTTGTAGAAGTGATTCTGCACAAAGATTCTGATTATTTTCTCTTTTGTTTTGCCACAGCCAGTATGAACGCTTCGATGCAAGAGTACGATTTGTTAAATAAATTTCAAAGAGTCATTTTCTAAGACCAGGAATAAGTGGTGTAAATTTGTTGCTTCAAAATAATCTAGATTCTGTAGCAATTTTTTTATGCTTCTTACAAGAATGATTCACAAACTAATGTAAAAATCTAAAAAAAAAAAAAAGGGAAGGTTCTTTTAACTTATGTGATTAGTAAAAATGAATCTGCATGTCTGTCCCTAGTCCATGTGTTTATCACAAAAAAAACCCCAGTTCTGTGCAACAAAATTCTCCTCAGAGTATTTGAGTACATCTAGATTTTATCAGCTTCTTACTTCTGTTCTTACTTCTGTCCAGTATGGAGAAACCTCTATTCCTGATTCATTCTTTTGTCATAATGAAGTCTTCCAAGTCCAAAAGCTGCTGTACTGGGCTCTGATACACAGTTACCTGCTAATTTGTCAATCTTACATGTAGCCATGATGATGTTTGTCAGTGTATCTGTCCAACTGCCCACATTTCCAAGGGCCAGCTGCGTAACTGATGTAAATTAACTGTTAACTTCAGTGAAACACCAATGATTTATACCAGCTGAGAATCTAGATCCTATTTTATGTTGCTTCCAATCATACACATAGACTCTCATTCACATCTGATTATGACAAAATGGATTGAAGTCCTCTTTCAATGCTTTCAATCCAGTGAATAGACAAAATAAGTCTAATTTAGAGTTGCCATATATCTCATTAGAGAATCACCATTTGAGATTCATTAACTTCTGTTACTGTTTGCAAAACAACTATTGCTGATAAATATGTTTGGATCCATTTATGAACCTCAGTGAGGTAAGAAGCAAAAATAGCTTGAGAAATCTTATTAATATAAATAGAGGCAGCTGGCATCTTTGTTATTTTCCTGATGAAAATCCATAATGGGAAACTGATTTGTGCCAGCATTCATTAGGTAGGTTAAGTCAGCACTCTGCTATAAATTACTCCTTCTGCTGCAGTAGCAAACAAGACTTGGTTGGAGCCAGAGCTTCACCATCGATGTCTGATGCTGCCACTGCTAACTGGCAGTTGCAGAGAAGAGCATCTGTAATGCCAACATTTAGACAGACGTCAAAAGGTGACAGCTAAGCAATGAAAAACCAGTGGGGGTCTCATTGCTTCCTCATTTGAGTCACACATTCACTAGAACTGCATGCATAAATACACTGCTAAAATTATTGATGGTATTCCAACCTCACCACCATCTAAGGCAAGTGGAGAGCAGATTAAATTGTACATTTACTTGTACATGACTCCTTTAAGACAAAGTGGCATTTCTGGCTTTGTGGAATTCAGATCTTTGTATTTATTCTGTATTTTCTTAACTATAAGAAGCAAGCAGAATTCTTCAACAGCTGTGCTGCTAACTAACAGTGAGGTACAGCAAGAGCAATAGGCCTCTTCCCAACATCACTGATTTTTCTACTGAAATTTTGACTAAGTCCTGTGTAAGAAATAAAAATCCAGTTCAAGTTTCTTACTACAAGGAAGAGAGAGATAAAAGTTACATAGTGGGTATCAGATAGCAAAAAACCACCTAGAAAGTGTTACTTATTTTACATCAGTGAGATGGTACCTGGATTACATATTCTGTCTATGAGCTCAGTAAGGTACAGAAATATCCAAGCCTTCAGATGAATAAAAATTACTATAAAATAACGTGTTTCTCATTCTGAAATAATCAACAAGCTGGGAAATAATTAAAAGGATGAAATAATAAAACATCTACATTCACTGCTTACAGTCTAAACTATTTCATTATTTCAGAGATCCACACAGTTGCAGAAAGGGTTAATCTTGTTCTCTTACCCCCATAATCTTAGTGTGGCATCTGGCACAGGTTGGTGCAAAGAACTGTTCATAGCAGCGCTCACAGTACACACTGTTCTGCTCCTCCACAAAGCACATGTCAGCCAAGGATGTCTTGCAGTAAGCACAATTGAATTCTTCTGGGTGCCAAGAGCGACCCATGGCTACCAGGAAAGGACCTCTGGAAACAATTGTAATTGTCTTATTTGTATTGCAGAAAGAAGGTTGAATGACCCTGATTGCAAACTCACTTTGTCAGACACCAGGTACACATGTAAGAAGCTACTTGAATCATGAGGTGCATATGAAAATAACATTCAGAAACCTGAATAGAAGAGTTTTTTTCTAAGACTATTACTCAAAACACACTGGTTAAAACATTACATTATTGTTTGGTATCATACACTGCATTTACAGACAACTGTTGGAAAAATCAATTGTTTTCGTATCTGTAAAACTGTAAGTGGTCTTTGCAAGCAGATGCAAAGAGAATAGGAAAAGGCCAAAGGCAACAGAAGATAATGCTACTATTTGAAAGCATAAAATAACAAGCAAATTTCCATCCTTACACACCCACACCTCACAAGAGCTACTAAAGTCTCCTGCCTTCTTTCTGTCTGAGAGCACTGCATGCAGCATGTTCTAGAAATGTCAGACTACCAGGTGAAAACTTACTGTTTCATTATGTGGAAGACACATTAAATTCATTTTGGTGATTGACTCTGGTGATTGTAGTTAGATATAGTGATTGTTACTGGAATATTTCCATTCCAGAACATATAAAGGGCAATAATCAGCAGTTCCACATCACCAAACTAGCTCCTTGTAGTGGGGAAGACTGTCATTAAACGTGGATTACTTAAAGTTGGACAGCAGTGCATAGGCTAACAGAAGGCACTGATCCAGCAGAATGAATTGGGAGAAATGGGAGAGGCATGCTATGAATCACTGGTAATGGAGTGTGGGCATTATCTTTCTCCAGACACAAAAGCAACAATTACATTTGGCTGCTGTTCCAAAATGCTGCCTGGTTCCTTTTCTCTCCCCAATTCTCCCCTCTGCCCCACTCCCCTAACTCTCCCAATTAAGTTGCATGAACCTCCTTCAAAGGGTTACCTTAGGACCAGAAACCTGTTTAAAATCAAGCGGGGATTTGCTGCAGCGTCCAAGAGCCAAACAATTAGCATGCATAACTTTACAGTGATAAAGAGTGAACCACACAACAACAAAATGAGCTCTGGAAATGTTAAATGAATGAAGCAGACAACGGACATCCCTGCTAGGTAACTGAACGGAGTCTTGGGCTCTGGAACTGTATATTAATGTACAATGATCAGCCTCTCTGATACTTCTTTTCCTGCTTCATCCCTCTTCAAAGGCCCATGACCTTACCGAATGATGCTGTTACAGTGCCCACAGAGAGGAGTTCGGCTGCTGGCTGGAAAACGCTCCGCCCTCTGAACTGTTCCCCGGGCTAATGCAGGGGGCTGGGAAGAAGTTGGAACTGGAGACGGGTAAGCAGAAATTGTGGCAGGAGATGGCACTGGAACACCCCTTGGTAGGATGTGCTTTGTGACAGTGGTGGTGGATTTTCCAGGTGCAAATTTCTGGGAAAAGGAGTCGTCTGTTACCCAGGGAGGGCGACTCGCAGGCTCCGTGTTGGCAGGGGTGTAGGAATGAACTGGTGCTGGCGCTGTTTTAAATATCCCAAAAGAAACCAAGAAGGATTTTAAAGTCTTTTTCTTCTACTGTCAATACAGCAACACTTACCAAAGGGTACTCCAGGACACACATACATTATAAACTTTAGGTGATAGCTAATTATGGCCTGTCCCATTGCTGCTCATTTATTCTGGGCTGAAGCCAAGGGTATCAGCACTATCACTGATTTCTAATGTACAAGAATTACAGAAATCATTGCCTACTGGCTTTTACAGATTTTATGGAGATCATTGTCAAGATCATCTCTTAATTTTCTAGTAGTAATGGATATGGCAATTCTGTGATAATTTCAAAGACTGTCATATACTCTGTTTAAGATAAGGTTAAAAATAGAAAAGCCAGATGATATAGCAAAGTTTTAGATAGAATTCCCCAGATTTTCAGTAAGTTATGCTCAACTTTTTATCTCATTATATTAACTGAAATACAACATGTTCTACAGATGTCACTGTTATCTATCATTTGTAGGTTTATTCCTAGGTTTTTGAAGAAAAACAGGCTCCCACAGGGAACACAGAGATAGAGAGCACTGGAAGCAATACTGAGGGAGACAATTCAGCTCACATGACCAGCAAGATAAAGCAAACAGCACTTAGAGAAAGGCCAGACTTGTGGTTATGACTGATCTCAGTTGAGTTCTTGGCTGTGCCACAAACTTCCTGTATAACTTTGAGCAAAGCAAAGTGTGTCTGCGCCTCAGTTCCTGTGTGTAAAACAGAATATTATCCTTTATCTCTTCCACCCTTTGACTAGCACATAAAACCTTCAGTGCAGCCTGTCTCCATGTTTGTGTGCACCAGGCTCTAATTTTGGGTGGAGCTTTATCACATTAAAATAAGCAGGAGCCAGGGGCTGCACATACTGACAAGTTTTCCCATTGCCCTGTTCTATTCAAAACGTCAGATTTTGCATTATGTAGGACTGAAGTTACTACCCAAGAAACAGCCTCACTCTGCCAAGTACAGGAGCACTAAAAGCACTAAATTTCCTTTTGCAAGGAAAACAAAGCAAATTATTATGAAAAGAAGCTTAGAGAGCTGAAGTGTTTTGCCCAAATGAGAGAGCACAGTTTTGGAAGCCAGTTTTCCAGGAGTCTGGGCAAACATTCCGTACAGTAGATCCCAGCACTAAGAAAATCATGACCAAATACAACATGTATAGGCTTAAGGGGCTTGCAGGAGGTATTTCAGCCAAGAGGGTTCTTCTGAAAGTAACATGGTTCTTTCTGCATAATTAAGTGCTGACAAGATTTTGTTTGACTTAACACCCCTCCCTCAGCCCACACCCTGCCACATAATAACTTACACTGATTATTGGCAATTGCCTAAATTGCATATATCTGTACGCTCTGTGATCACTCTCATGATCTTTTTATTGAGGTCAGAGTTGAATCTAGTGCATTTTCTTGATAAAAATTTCCTATGGTATAGCATCAGCAATGTTTCTATTTCATAAAACTGTATCCCACCTTAGCTTGAGGCTTCTTTTTTTTTTAATTTGGAAATGGTAAATAGTATTTAAAAATTTCAGAACAGAGTTTATAAGCAATCTCTTTAGATCCTGAGGCTCTTGCTATTTATGTATTACAGTATTAAGATAGGCAAAATTAGAAGTTAATATTTCATCTCTAATTGGTGAGCTCAAAAGGCTCCCACCTATGAGGCTAATTAAGCAAGGTGACTTCAACTCATTTCACTACATTCTCTCTTCCTTCTATTTCTTTTCACTCTTCCATTTGCTGCAGTAAAATAAAGAAACAGAAAAAAGGAAAGTAAAATAAAACAACAAAATAGGATTTTTTTCCAGTTACTAAAAGGAAGTACTGGAGGAATTGCAAAATTACAAATGCTGGGCATTTGCATCTACCCAGAGTTCTCTTTTCAGATGTTGTAATTTAATTTTACAGGCTTGATTTATTACTATACATTTTCCTCCTGTGAGCAAGCTGCAATTTCTATTGCTTCAAAATAGCACCACTGCAATACATTAGAAAGATTTTACTAACTTTGAGATTTTAGCAATTGTTATTAAAAGGGAATTACCTTGTTTTCTTAGAACTACATCCCTAAGCTTATATGAACAATTCTTCTGTCTTAGTAGCTACTGCCATACACATTCATCTAGAACATTTATCTATTTCAAAAAGTCTTTCAACACTAACCAGCAGAAAAAAAGGGGCTGTTTGGTGCTAAAAAAGTATTGAAATTCAGTACATCAGAGAATATATTCTCAAAATATCAGTATTGTACAAGTTGACCATTAACTTAAAAAATGGAAACTTCAAATAATTCAGCAACTTAGCCTCTATCACCTTGTTTCCCTCAGCCCTCACATTCTCTTAGAATAGGAAAGAATGAATGGGATTATTGTTATCCTGACGGAATGGCAAGAGAAGAGGTCTCTCTTAATAGGAGTAGGAACAAACCAACTCCTTGCTTCTGGGGAATTCGGAATTCTCCCCCTCAGCTCTTTATTTATGGTCTATGGCTATTTTCTCTCCAGACAAAAAGACACATTACCAAGACTCATTCAGTAAAGCAAAGATTTATAGAGTCTCAAATGCTTTGGTCACACACTGACTTGCACTGTGAGAACATTTTTTTCTTTTTTTTACCCTTTGTTAGTAAATGACAAAAGTGTTACTCTTTACTATTTTCAGTAACAACTTAAATTGACAATCACAACTGATATGGCTTGTTCTACACTTGGTGGCCACATCCTTGAAGCCCAAAGTTTTCTCATATACTTTTATAGTACAGAGTAGATGAGAGACAAAGCAGATAATGTTTTATAGGGAGACATTATTCTTATTTAGGGGAACTAAAAATTAAATGGTGTGGAAGATGCTTCAGCTAAGCTGGAGATGCTTAGGATTCAATATAAAGTTCATTAAGAACTGTGGGAACCTCTCTACCAATTCCTAAAAGAGCAGATCAGGCCTTTATGCTTGACCAATTCTGCATACACAAGTAGGCCCAGTTGGACTTAGGGATTTAACAGGAAAGATCTGCTTTCTTACATTTAGGTATCTTGTTACTTCGTGGTACAGAACTGGAGCTGGAGTTGCTTGGGGTATGTGAAAAGTTATCCTGGTCTGGGAAAGTCTACGGGAAAGGAATACCCAGGTATGTTCTGCCATCTAGTGAGCCTTGTTCAGAAGAGCAATCTGTGCTCCTTTTGAAAACAGAATATGAAATTTAGGGAAAAGATTTCCGAGTTCATAGCTTTCTCTACTGGAAAAAACTAAAGATCTTTACCAGCAGAAAATTTCCCATCTGAGTTAGGCTAGGGAAAGTGTAGACTGCCTGATAAATCCCATCTGAGCCAGATATTCGACAACGCATTTTCATTTTGAGACTTGTGTCAGTTTGTTTGAGGTTTTTCAGTCTAAAAGATTAAAATAGCCTTGTAAATCCTCTCAGTGACTGATTCAGGTGTCTCTCTGTTGGGTAAATGAGCCTGTTTATTGGTGTTTTAATCTGGAAGTTGCTGCCCCACATTTCCAAGGGAAGCCAGTCATTGGCAAAGTTGGATGAGGTTCTATCTTGCTGGTTTGTTTCTAAGTACTATTGATTTTCCCATCTGTGACAGCAACTGCCATTTCCTCCATTTCTTCCCAAGTGGCAACTTCCCATTTGCTCTGCAACTATCTCCAAGGCAAGCTCATGTTCCAAAACCACTTTGAAATGCTACTACATCAAATATATAACACTTAAAAAAAGGTACCAAACAAGAATGAAACATCTTCACTGAAATCTCTGCCTGGAACCTCTCTTGTACCTGAGTCGCTTTAGGGTTCAATTATGAAGGTATTTTAGAATCCCTTATTGAATATTTCAAACTCCTAAACAGTACAGGAGGACTTTTTCTTTCTCTGGCAACTATTTTAAGCCTTTATTGAGATGCAATGAGGTTCAAAAACAGCAACGTAAGGAACTGCAAAGGAACACCAGCAAAGTAAGAAAGTGCAAAGAAAATGCCCAACCCAGGAGAAAACCCAGGAAAAAAGCCTTTCTTCTTATGCCAAGCAGAATTCAACAGCCAGCTTTGACTTTACCAGATCCAGCCAAAAATTGGAAATAGCTGCAGATGTATTTCTGTGGCAGGTTTGTATATTGAACTGGAGTTTATACTTCCCCAAATGAGCACAGGGCTTAATGTCAGTCAGTGTATTTAGGAGATATTTTGACTTGCCACGGTTTGCTCTTTTCTGCATTATAGAAATATACCTGGTGTCATCATCTTTTCAAGTCAAAAATAATAGCATTTGCCTTCAGTGAGAACATGGTATAGACTGGTGCACTTAACCAAAAGCAAATGAGGAAGAGCTGAAGATTTATTTACATTGAGACCCTTAAATAGCTCATGAGAGCTCTGACTTGACTTTTTCTACCTTTATGTCTCAAATATAAAGATCATTTGATTTGTCTGCTTTATGCCTAACTAAAGTTCCTACATTTGTTTAATTTCAATACATCCAGAAACAGAACATCACAGAAGACAGAGTTTGAGACTGTTAAAATTCTTGATTTTTTCATATTTATTTGACTGTAAAGATATAAATCAACTTTTTAATTCTCTTAAAAATCTAAGATCAGAAAAACCTTAATTTGAAACAGAACTGCCTTTAGAATTATATTGCTGCCTCATTTAACTCATTCAGTTTGAAGGTTCGCATTTTGGTCATCAATGGCTTTAAAAGCTCAGTCCATTTGTAACACATTAATACCAAGGGAATTTAAATAGTATCAAGGAGCATATTTTCCAAATGAATGAATAGCCAAATACATTCCTTAAGTTTCTAGATCTCTGGGAAATGGAATAGCATTATGAGCTGCTTTAATGCCTCATCCTTTATTTCAAATATAAGCCTAAGTTTGAGAAGTTTGATATATGGTCTTACCTATTTTGCAAATATATCCTATTCAAGCAAACTCCACTTATTTTACCTCTTTCCTGAACTTTTCATTCTTTAGCTGCCTTATCAATTCTGTAGTGTCACTGTCCTCCTATCTGGATACACTGTGTTATTTTGTGAATGTATTTCTGCTAAAAAATCAGGCTCCACATTTTTTATTAGACTTTTCCCTTGCTTTTAGTTTTCCCTCAGTTTGTTCTACATTTTAACTCTGAAGCAGAATATGAATACAACATAATCCTCAACCTTCAGACAATCTGAGGCAAAACTAGCAAGACCTAGTCCCATATATATAAATACTTTCTGATATGTCTGTGTACAAAATGTGTGCTTTCTATATTTTATTTTTCCAAAATAAATGCATGAGCATTTTTTTCAGAATCTTTTCAGTACTTTGAAGGCTCCTTACCTGGCTGGTAGACAGAGGGCTTTATGCTGGCAGTAGTAACAACTCTCATTTTTGAAGCAGCAGAAGGAGCAGGACTTTCACTGTAGCTTCCAGAGACTGGCATTGGTGTATATGACTGGATTGTGTTTCTAAAAGCAAAATGTAGGTGTGAACAACCTTATAAACAGCAAAAATTACTGACCATAAAGTAACAGACCTGGCAGCGTCCAGAGCACTCCAAGAGGAACTGTCTGTGAGAACTAGAGAGAGAATGTTGGGAGATTCATCAGTCTTTATCATTGCTAAGGAAGTCTTGGACAATTCTTTGGAAAGAAAAATTAGTCAGATAAGGATTTCAAGCAGTGGCACGTATCCTGTTGTTGTCACAGAAAATAGCTTGCTGAGGGAATATGACAAATTTGAAACTCTCAGTTTAACAAGGGATGAGGCTTCACAAAGCTGCACACGAAGTTTGTGTTTTCTGTTCCTCTGCAAACAAAAAGGCCTGGTCTTGTCTAAGATAAATCAATGAGAGATACCTAGATTTTAAAATTTACTTGCTCAACACAATTACTACTATTACAAATGATAATTAGTATTTATATACTGTTATATTATTTTCAAAAATATTGAAGTGATATTTAATTTTTTTCATGACTATCTCTTTTCCATATTTAGACTGACACCAAAATTTACATATATTTTCCTAATGTTCAGATTCATCCTTCAGAAAAAAAAAAAAAGATATGTAATATTATGATCCACTTTCTTGCAGTCCTAGAATAAAAACATTTGCTCAGGATTCCAAACATTAGTAAGAAACAGTTTTTCTCTATTTTATGGCTTAGATGATGATTCTCAGTTTGATTACAGTAACAGATTAAAAAATATGCCTCTTCTATCAGCCAGTTACTTGGGATGATTCTGTCTGTAGTGCCTGTGCATCACAGACTGCTAAAAGAGCATTACAGTCAAAGCAAGCATGAGAGAATAAAGAAGTACGAGGAAGGGAAGCACGAGATAATGAGATGTGTGCAGTAAGAAAAACCTATTCACTACAGAACATCCTTCTTACCCACCCTGAAAACACAGTTTTGTTTTTTTCTTCCTTCAGTGTCACTGCCCTATGAACTAGTTACAGATCCCTACCTATTTGTGCTGACAATGAATGAGTTATTTCCATAGGGGGTTTGTCTATAGGAAAACATCTGTCAGCAAGTGAAAAGGAGCATTCAGCTTTGCCAGATTATTGCTCCATCTTGACTTTACTTTTTTAAGAGTGGAAACAGAAGCCATCTGGAGAAAACACATGACAGTCCCATATGGCAAACCCAGCAGATTTCTCCAGTACAGGTAAGAAACGTTCTAAGATATGGAAAGTTTCAATTTTTAATTTTGAACAGAATAAACCTGTCCTCAATGTAGCTTTTTGCTGCTCTGACAGTGTTTCTACTATAGATCTAGTTTGCATAGCATTGCTGCCTCAGGCTAACTTATTTTGTCTATTTAGCAAGACCTAGAAACTTAGCTATTGCTACAATGGCTATAGCTAATTATTTCTGTACCAAGTCCAGGATTTAGGCCTGGATTTGGGTCCACTATACCATGGGTGAACACAACTCTTCAAGGTAAACTATTTTAGTGGGTTTGTATTCACTGTAAATTCTGTTGTGAATTGTGCTGTGATTTGTAACTGCCAAAGCTGTTCTAAGCACCGTAAAACTTGCTGTTTTCCATTCTTTCCATCTATTTCCTGATGATACCTCCTGTGTGGGGCCTAAGAAGGCACTGTGCTTGGGATCACTGGGCAGAGGCCGCTGCTCCTGCCATAGCACAGGGACACAGACACTGTGGGCACACTGGCTTCACCCACAGCTTTCAAAATGCCATTGGCTAAACACACCATCTAAAGATTTGTTCGTGTTTTAAAATTTGCTACCCAGGGTAAACTAGAGAGCTCAGTGCCCAATATTTACAATGTGGGTTAAAAGATTTTAAAATTATGTGTTGCACAGCCTTAATCTGTAAATGTCATCCAGTCAGGAAAGTCTACTCCCAGGTGCACAGGTCCAGTGGTTAGAAAGACTCATTTGAATCTCTCTTAATGCACAAAATAAATAAAGAAACCCTGAACCAGATTAGTAATACTTAGACTGTCATGAAGAAAAATGGTTATTCAAAATTCAAGTGTTTCCCAAATGTAATATCATAGTAGAGCCATACCACAGATTTCCTTGTGGTCAGGAAAATGAATCTGAAAAAAAACCCAAAACAACACCCTCCTCCCCACACTCATAGTACCAGAACCATAGCAAAATTAAAAGAAGTAACAAAAACTTCTAACCCTTTACATGTGTATGATGCTAAATACATGTATGTATGGTATTAAATACAATAAAGAAGATAAGAAAGCTTGTCAAAGAGAAATAAAGTGTTACACTATATCATAAAGGGTTTAGTGGAACAAAAGATTTATCAGAATATCTGCTGAAGAAAAGAAAATGAATGGCATGTGATTAAAAGAACAAGAAAAAAAAAAGAAAAAAGAAACAAGAAAGAAAGAAATAAAGAAAGAATAAAAAGATGTTGTAAGGACCAAAGATGCTTTAATGGATCAAGAAGCACTGGCAATTCAAAAAGCAGTGAAAGCAATCTTATTGAATTTATCTGTAGCAGTCAATGGCATGTGACAGGCAGCAAATTAAATACTGGCTCTGAAAACTATTAGTTGTCAGAAAAAGAAAGAGTAAATATTTCTAAGCAGATCATTTTTATGTTAACGCTTCACTAGATGCCTACTAGTAGCAATAAACTGATTTGTTAAGTGCTTTTAAGGTAGAATAGCTGCACAAAACATTTTTATACCTCTGCTTTGACTGGTAGCTGATGGAGGTGGAAGAATGCCGGTTGAAACTAAAATGAGACAAAAGTGGTATTTGAAAAAAATATACACAAAAGATTGGGATATCTTGCCCTACCATGAATTTCCTATGAGTAAGAAGTACTCTTAAATGCTAAAATAAACAACATGTACATATTTTTATTCATATAAGATGAGTATTACATTACATTTTGTTTTCTTATTTAAGCTGGTAATCACAGTGAAACCTGAAGAGGGGTAACATTAAGTCAAAGAGTTGAGTATATTGTTCCACAAGTCACTCTCATCTGATCTTGTTACTCGATTGTGGAACTCTAATTATTTTTATTAGCACAAAAAAGTAAATACAAGGGATTTTTCTCAGTGTCATAAGTTTACATTGCATCAAACCCGAGAAGCAAACCCTGAATGAACCAAAGGCCAAAGATCAGGGAAGTGTCCCAGCTTATGAGGCAGCTCAGAGAACCCCACAGAAATGACAGGCTGGCATAGTTGAAACAAAAACATCCACCCACCATGCTCAACTTTTGCCTTGAAGAACCTTTCTACTTCTACAGTCTTAGGTAAACAGGTAGATTTTTTTTTTCTTGGGGAAAAAGCATAATTTCAGAAAAGAAATGAGTCATTTATGCAAATACAGGAAGTACTTGAAAGCCTGCACAATCTATGATCTGAGAAACAAGAGGATTCAGAAAGAACAGAGCTCCTGTCTGCAGGGCAGTGCAGCGCTACATGGCATCAATCCCATCCCACAGAAGCACAGCCCACATTTCCCAGAATCACCAGGAGTCTGCCTTATGCCAGTTATTTTCCTGACTTCTGGAGAAGGGTTCTTCTTCCCTTTACCATGGACACAGCGCTTGGATTAAAATCTCCTGATCAAAAGCTACACTTGACCTTTAGAACCGTAATTGTAACTCTCTCCATTGTTTCTCCTGGTTTTGTATTCCCAGAGTGCTGTCGCATAGGGTGCCCAGCTTTAACCCTCTGGATAGAATAACCCATCCCTAAAGAGCTTCGAGCTTATTCAAAACTCTCCTGCTGTGCTTGCTTCTGTTAAATGAGATTGAAAGAGGAATAGATAACAGTATGTCAGATTTCACTGCAGATGTAAAAGAGTAACACAGTCTGTTAAAGGTTAGTGATTTACTTCAAACACTCCTCTTCAGGAACATTATAAAGATTTTACTCATGTTAAGTGTATGCATATGCTCACAAAAGCTAAGTCACTATAGAACTGGATGTACTAAAGGTTAAAATCAGATTTAAATAGTTAAAGATATTAATCAAGAAATCCTCCTGCATTTTCTTTTAAAAGCAACTAGAAGGAAGAAAACACCAAACACTGCAATAATTTTTAAGTCTGTATTTTGGCATACTAAAGCATCACTTGGTTTCTAAATGAAAACTACCAGATGCTCAACAATTTGAATTATACATCAGTTTAGAAGCCAGTTTGAGTCCCTTACATTTGAATACACATGCTATAATACACAACACTTTTTAAAGCTAACATGGAAGAAGTACACCAAGATAAAGAACCTATTCCAGCTGCAAGACAGCCATCCAAAACCAACCAACCAACCAGAGTTTACTTCTTGTACTTGATTATCACGAAACCAAATTTTTACAGGTCCTTAAAGTCTCTGATTTGCCTTTATGTCCCTGTCCAAGCCAAGACAATAACATTTGCCTGTTGGTAATGAAGAAGCAGATGACAGCATCACACTTGTGTCATCCATTGACAAAGCAGCAGTGTATAAAGTTGATATGCTGTAGATCTTTTATATGTGACCGAAATAATTGCCAGGTGCAAGGAAGAGGACTCTGATGAAAGCATTTCTTTTTGAAATGGACAGATGTTTTTCATAGATTCACAGAATATTTAAGGTTGGAAGAGGCCTCAGGAAGAATCTGATCTCACCTGCTGAAAGCAAAGCTAGCTCTGAGGTCAGACCAGGTTGCTCCATGTTTTAGCCAGTGACGTCTTGAAAACCTTCAAGATTGGAGACACAGCTTCCCCAGGCAAGTCACTTCCTTTCAAAGGGGCAGGAAAAGCAGCAATGGTCCATGCCAATCTAATTTACTAATTTATTTTCGATTCAAATGTCCCAATATCTCAGTGTCATCTTTTTATCCTCATTAGAATTTTGTTTCACACTGATTAATCCATATTGGTACGTAACTACAAATGAATTTACATGGATTTGAGGCCTCACACTGCTTCCCTTGTCCCATTAAATGGATATGAAATTTAAGGGAAACAGAAAAAAGCTCTAACAAAAATAATTTTACATTACCTCTAAAAAAGACATGCAAGTAGTGTCAGCAAGTTACCTTTCTACTAATTCTATATGTAAATTATGCATAATTTTTGCTTAACTTGTCCCTTCCCATGGAACTAGATGATCTTTAAGATCCCTCCCAGCCCAATCCATTCCATGATTCCATGATGTCCATGGCAGGAATGGAAACAAGCTTTTAGGAAAGATTTAGATGGGTCCTATGATATAGACTGGTGAAACATGAATAGATGTACTCTGTCTGGCCAGAATAGTCACCAAAGCCTCCATTTATCTTCATCTTCTGACTGATAGATACATTTCAATCTTTAGCTGAGAGAAGCCCTAAAATTAAGTCTTTTCTGTAGCTCAGGAGAAATAACAGGTTTTTAATCAAACTCAAATGTGCACAGTTCTTAATTATTGAGTAAAAAGCAAGGAACCTTACCCGAGTACAAGGGGCTTCTTGAAACTGAAGTTACAATTGGTATACTTCCACTCATCAGCAGTTAATTTTGTTTCTTACATTTTATCAGCTCCATATTGGGATTACTTCCCCTTTGTAATTCCCATGGCTGTAAACAGCCAGGTTCACATCCTAAAACTGAAAACTCTTCCAATCTTTGGTTCCGTAGCTATTTCATTTTTGCACTGGTTTCAGTGATATGAAGCCAATCAAACTGCTCCTAACTACTACCTGTGCTGCTCACTTAACTGTTCTGTGATTCTTTTGAGAAAAACCATTACACTTCTTGGTGTGAAGCCTTCAAACTTGTGCCCTTTGTCAATTTCAAACATCACCTTTGGGTGATTCCTAACTTTTTTTTTATATAAAAATAAGACACACATGGATAATTACAATCTCAGATGTATTGTTGATTGAGTTTTTCATTATTTCTGAAAACTGTGTTCAAATGAGTCTTAAAATCTACTGCTTTTTCCTCTGTTAGTTGTCAAAGTGTTATGAAAGCAGTGAAAAGGCTTAGAAGTGAGGCAGTACAGCAGCATTCTCTTTCTAGCGATAAAAGATTCCTGTGATCCCGCATTTTCACCAAGAAAAAAAAGGTCCATCATTCTCACCCAGTGTCTCTAGACAATTTTCATTTCAGGATGGCAAAAGCAGCACAAACCAACCTCTGCTCCAAGAGGACCTTGTGGTCACATACCATACATCTAATACTTAGCTGTTTCCTAACTGGGTTGTCATGCAGAAGATAAGGAAGGAGCTATTCCTTTAAACACATTGTGCTTTTTCTCTGCCAAGTCAATCCCTTCAGTTTCAGAAACTGAAAACCTCATATCAGAGAGCATAATACAAAATCAAAACAAATTAGGTTAAAAAAAGAGAGCTTTACAGATATACCTAGACTGAGATGAGATAGCAGATGAAATAGTGGAAGCTGCTAATGACATGTTCTTGGGCCCATGGAAAGGCTTAGGCTGGGAAAGAGAGCTGGGGGCTGCAAGAACTCTGCAGAAGACACATAAGAGCATGAAAGCATGAACAAAATGATTTAACAGGGACACAAATCATGACATCAGAACCAAGCTCTGGCAGGATTCAGACACAGAAAGACTGCTGCATAGTTACCAGGAACAGGTTTGCTGTAGCACACATCTGCAGACTTACAGAAAAGCACAACCAAGCACATTCCTACAGAACACAAGGCAAAATGCACACATTATGGAAAAATTTTAAAATCAGACTCTCTCAATAACTAAGAAAGACAATATTACAGGACAGGACTTTTGTCAATGATACATGCTTTTATCCAAAAGATCTGAAGATGTTTGAGTCTAAATACAAGATAAAAATTCTACTATGCAAGCAGACCCAGACAGAAGATTGACCTATAGAAACCAGAATGAATTGGAATGATTAGTTTAGTAAAGGCATTTTTTTGTCTGAAGCAGATACTAGCTAATACATTTTCTTCATGCTATGGTTTCAACTGAGGAATAAAAATTACTTAAACATTATCATTATTTTATATGGAAGTGCCTCTCAGGCCAGTTCTGAGTTAGAACATAAGACTTTATTCAAATCTCCTTTGCTGTCTAATTAATGGATTTTCGTGCATTGGAATAAAACCACTGCATTCTGGAAAGTCACAGCTAGGTAAAAACTGACTAAAGTGAGAAACTAATTACTTGGGATATATATATATATATACACACTGCAAGTCAACTAGCAAAAATTAATCAAGAAGGTAGAGCCAAGACAACATTTCCAATTCCATTTATACATATCTAAAATATGATACCTCTGAGGTCTCAATTATTTAAAATGGTTTATATTACTGGAAATGTGTTTTACCTTGGATTTTAAAAGCATGCTTAAATAGACATTATTTCAGAATTTACATGTAGCAAACCCCAAAGATAAAAGAATATTATAGACCAAAAGAACTCACTATCTCCAAAATTACTGTAATGTAAGTGACAGCTGTATAAATCCCACACATTTCTTCACAAGCTGTCTGACAGTTTTTAATACACAACTGTAACTCCCACTGTGCTACAAGTGTTAGGAATGCATCTCCTTGAAACTTACTTCAGCTTGCAGGCTAATTTTCATTAGAAAAAAAATAGATAAATCTAATAGAAATGAATTGATTTAACTTACAGAGCAAGTCAATCATCAAGTGTCCACCACGTTTTACTGATACCTGCTGTGACACAGTAAGCTCAATCATGTGAGTAAATGGCATTTTCGGATTTTCCATTTCTTGTCCTACTGCAGAAATACTATTCAAAGAATCTTCATTCACTGCAACTATTATGAGTTGTTTTGGTTTTATTATAAGTGGTGTAAAAACATTTCTAATTTTAAGCCCAGACTGGCTTTCTGAAAATGAAGTTATTTTTAGGGAGGTTTTATTCTGCAAATTCTATGCAAGCATGAACAACACATCACAAAATTAAAAAAAAAAAAAATTAAAAACAAAAAAACCCCAGAAAAAACCACCCAATCCCCCCAAAATATATAAAAGCATATAAACCAGGTTACAGCTTTTCATACTACATTCTTAAGCTAAGAATGTGTATGCAGCATGTCCAAAGCCAGAGGGGTATAAAGCAATGGAGCGTTACCTTTGGAAGGAGGATGAGAAAGACTCTTGCACTACTGAGGTGGTGGCTGGTGCTGTCATCGGGCTGGCTGTGTTTGGAGCAGCAGTAGCAGGCTGAGGTGCTGAAGCATGTGGTGCAGGAGCAGCAGAACTGGGAGCCACCGGGGCATGCTCAACAGGGGTACTAATTAGAGTTAAATTAAATAAAACAAGAAGCATCTTAAGAAGGCGCACATTTACATGGAGAGCATAAAACCTACTATGTTTGAACCTGCAGCTGCAAACATAGTAGCAGGCTGGGTTACTGAGGGAAAAGCACAGTTATACAAAGAAAAGATAGACATTAGATCAGCCTTTTCCATTGTGCAGTTCTGACTGCAATACAGGGTTGGTCCTGCTTGACTGAAACTTACCCCAGGTGTTAAACAGCACTCCAGTCCTTTTCCTACTGATGCCAGGGGTAGGAAATGTGGCACTCAGGACTGAAATGGCTGTGAAGAGCCTGTCACAGTCTTGTCAGCTATATAAATTCCATCAAATATATTGAAATGAATGATAATAATCTACTCCTGTAGCCTGTCACCATTTCAGTAACATGTTGAACTGCTAATGTCTTACATCACCTCCCTCAAATTTGAGAATTACTCATCTCTTACAGACAGACAAATGGAGGAAAGTTAGCAGGTTTTTTTGAAAATCAGGACATCACTGTACATAGTTGTCTTGTCCATAAGCAGTGGCCTAGAAGCAAAATGGATATATGTCTACTTCTTTAGACCTATGTTGTAGGTATGTTGTTACCTCTCTGTGTTCCTACAAATTACTCCTATCAGGGTGATGAAATTCAGTGATTCTCTTGCTCAAGGTACAAAGCCCAAAATGTTTCTTCCTGAGCACAGCAAGTATCAAATAACAAAAGAAACCTTACAGTTCCACAGCTGTTTCTTCAGCCAACGTTAGCCCTCCAACACCCTCAGCCTTTTTTCCGAAGCAGATTTGCCATCTATTGTGCAAATTATCTCATATTTTCTTTTGATTCTCTCAGAAGCACTGATTTGACAAGTTATGCTCCTCAGGACCTAGAACAAGTGCTTGGTACTTCTGAATTTGTGATCCTCCTTGTTCTCCAAGGGACTGTCCTGTTTCCCCTGTCTTTCACCTCTTCTTCTAGAGTTCAGTAGTCTACATGATGGTGTCTTAATTCAGCTGAATATTTTGTTTAGTTAGCTGAAACAGAAGCTGGTTGTTATACCCACAAACCTCAAAGCTCAATGCAGCCCACAATAAAAGCAGGAAATCGGTATTTTCTCCCTATGAGTCCCTTATGGAGATTCATCTACAGTTATGTACATAATAAGAAAGTTCTAGAAAATAATCATCCAGTTTGATGGCTTTCAAATCCTTACACCAAGTTTTACAACAGTTTTGCAGAAGTTCTTCCACTGTAATTTGCACTTGAGAGTCAGATGACTTCTTCCATCCTGATGCATTTAATGATGTAAATTCTTCCAATTAACTGGTAGATTATAATTTTCACAGCCTATGTAGCAGAGTGGCCGTGTATTTTCCATCACAGCAATCTGGTACTGAATTTCAATACTGTGAAATTTTCCCTGTGCCACAGGGGGCACCATAATTACCCTATTAAAAGCAGTCGAGTCACAGTTTCCATCTTACACACCTAGATATCTTTGATTTAGCAAATAGGAAAGGATTGAAATTATGCTGCACAAAATTGGAACTTAACATACGTGTTAAAAACAAACACAAACTAGGATTTCACCTATTTTGTCTATTTGCACTGATGTGAAAGGGAATTTGCTACAGATTTCTAGAGGTTCAAGACTTCATATCTTCAAGAGAACAATGAAGTTAATTAATTGTAACTTAATTGCAACAATTTCAAAAATAATCATAAAAATACAAATAATCAAAATACATATTCAGTGATAAATATTGAAAAGAAAGTGAAAAAAACCAAATCCATATGTGAGGACATGGACCTGTGTGGAGACAGATTTGAACAGAATGAACCCATATAAATAAAATAAATGCAAATATACTAGAATATCTTTTAAACTTCTTTTAAAGTTTAAAAAAAATACGAACAAATTTTATCTTGCATAGTGTTTGTAATATTTATTTTTACGTGATCAAAATGTTAGAGGCTTGCTTACCTTCCTTCATGGCAGAATATATTAATTATCAGAACAAGGAATTGGAATAAATATAAGTGTAGTGGATATAACCATAAAAATCAGAGTGGTTTGGTTACATAAATTGTATGCAGCTGATAACATTCTCAAAGCAGTTTTATAGAAAGAGCTTGAGACTAACTTGACTGGTTTTAAATTAGGAACTATAAATTGTACATATTTTTATTTATACTGTCAAATACAATAGCCATACAATAACTGGGGTTTTTTTGTCCTCCGTTCTAGTTTTTCAGTCTGATTTTTCATTTTAGTTCTTCAAGTGCAGAAGAATTTTAAGAATTGATAAATGTGAGTGCTGCTTTATAAAATAGAGCATCTAATGCAACAGTGTCATTATGACACGCTACAGAGGGTTTTTTGGTTGGTTGGTTGGTTGGTTGGTTGGTTTTTAAATACAATAGTTTTGTAGACTTGAAATCTTTACAGTACTTTCCATTTTAAAAGAAATTGAAAAAAATCAAACATCTTCATATTTGTGGTAAAAAACATAAAAGTAAGTTAGGTGGATGAAAACAAACACACATCTCTTCTCAGCTGATTTTCACTCATGAAAAGGAACACAGATCAGTAGAGGTTAAGAGGATAATAATGGTTAACAACCATAATGAGAACACAGCAACAAATGCACTCTAACATTTAAAATATAAGTGTAGATTATACTTTTTTCTCTTGGTGATGTCCTAAGTTCTGAGACTTTCTATCCAAATAACGAGGAGTGGATGATTAAAACAGCACTTAGTCTCCTTTATGTAATGCATGAAGATTTTTGTGTTTCTAATCCTCCAACAGATCACTTGGAAAGAATCAAAAATATAGAGAACAAAACTAAAATGGATACGAAAAAAAATCTATTATCACATCATTTGTAGAAAAAAAGTGCTGGAGAAAGTATTTAGAGAAAGCTGTAATGGCAAAGGATTTTATATTTGAAAATGGGAATGTTTGTGGAATCCACTGAAAATACAGAAATATCAGCTGCTGTTTCTCTGCTGAAGATGCTTAATGACTTGGCTCTGTATTGTAGGTGTGATCCTATGAGAGCCACAGGAAATCTAACACCCACATGAACCAGAAGTTGCTGGAACTGGAAGAATTTGAATGTCTGCCTTTGAGGCAATGGTCACTTCCATCTGCAGGAGTTAGAGGTGGTTATTACCAAACCATTGCAAAGCTCCAAACCGGGTCAGTTATGCAGTTACACGGCACAGTGTACCTTTGGTTACTGGATGAAGCAAGAGGGACTTTCTGGCCAAAACCGGCCTCCCCCTGGCTTGTACCCGCTCCAAGCCTCACAGAGCCCTTGGAGGCCACTGGCTGAGCATTGGCAGTGTTGGCATCCCTGGTGGATGACTTAGGAGGGTGCCAAATACTCGAGGTCACATACTGGGGCGCGTGCGCAGTACCTGTAGGCCTGGGTAACAGAGATTACAAGGGCGTTTGTAAATGAGGCACTTCCTAGGTAATAGCAGGGGTTTGAGGAAGAGACAAAATTCCAGCCACAGCTGGAGCTGGAGATCATAATGACAATGCAGATGAAGTAATGACTAATCTTGACAGCTCATTGGTTAATTACTGCTTAAGACCAGGAAAGGCTTGACAAATTAAAAAAGGTACCTTGTGTTAAATCTGGAAGGCATATTGCTATGAATATCAAAATAAGCAGAGCTGTGATGGTAATGGAGGTGGAGAAAGGCTGTGGTATGACAGATCACACAAGATTAAGTCAACAAAGGAGGACAATAACAACAGTCATATATCAGAAATTGTTCCTGGCAAAATAAAATAGTAGTTAAATGAAAAGGAGATTTCAGGGAAGCATAGTCCTATAGTTAGTTTTACACAAATGAAACTGCTGGTGAAAGTCTAACGTATTGCTTGTTCTTTACAATTTAATTTATATTCAGGAATTATGGGATTTATTTCCTTCTTTATCATTAATTTAAAAAGAAAAATCAATTTTCCCAACTGTTCAAGTGCCAGTTACCATTGCTTGTGTCATTATTAACAAATGATGCTTGCACTCAGATATTAACTCTATGCAACCTTTGTTCAAACATAAGCAATCTTAAAAAACCCCTCAAAATAAGAAGTGGTTGCATATCACTGAGGCAGGAATCAACAACAAAGAGAAAAGCAGTAGGATAAAATTATTTTCATGACTAACTAGTAAGAGGCTTTCTTTGCTCCACCAAACAACTGGTCAGATTCACTCAAGAAATATCTGTGTATCAGTATTTGGAGCTTTAATAAATAAACTAGTAGAAAATAACACATTTCTATACTTAACTGCAAAATGTTCTGAGATCCTTTGGGAGAAAACAACTTGAAATTAAAGAACTTACAGAGGAACGGTTTTGAACCTCATAAGCCACTGAGGATCAATCAAGATCTGACATTAGTTTTCTTAAGATGATCTTTTTTAGATTTTAAAAACACCTTGAACAGTCTAGACAAAGTTTAAAATGGAAATTGTTCTTAAAACTCCATCACAAACTGACAGTACTCCATTTCAAGAATATTTGATCTAAAACTTCTTATTTTTCAGGTTCATAAGTTCTGAGAAACACAATCCCCACCTGTTCCAAATCACAGTGCATGAGAAAGAAAAGCCTAATGAACCCATTTAGCTGAAGAAGCCTCTACTTTCATCTGTTCAAACAGTGTACAAATTTCATGTTTTTGAGGTAAGAACAATATGCAGAAAGGGGATATCCACTCTTAACAGGAAGTAAATCAAACACAGCAAACATTACCTGTTTTCTGATGCTGCTGCAATGTTTTCCTTGTCTCTGTGAAAGGAGGGGATACAGCATGAAATAAATGCAATTTCCAGCAGTGGCAAAAATCATCAACCCATAACAACCAAGGAAAAAGAACATGGGTTGGGGAGAAATGTTTGGTTGCAAAAAGCATCCTAGAGTGGTTGCTCATAAATACAGCTGTGAGAAAGCTCTTCAGCTTTCCAGGTGAAACCACCAGATATACAAGTTTGCTGTATGCTTCTTATCAGTTGCAAACAACTTTGTTTCAAGAATAAAGAAAAATTACCAGTTACAAACGAGACATTGTATGTGTGTATACAATTTCAAGAATAGTTTTGATTTTAATAAGTTCCCTTTTAAAAAAGAATTCAATGATATTCCAGCAGAACATACTTAGATGCCAAATCCAAGCAGTAAAAATAATCAGAGTTGGGCAGTCCTCATGGACCCAATATTTTGAAGTGATAAGCAGTTAAACAGTTAACAAAAATGTACACAAAAACGATTTCTTATGCCTGGCATTACACTTAAAAATTCTCTGCCCTATCCAAACACTAGTTTCCTCTCCTAAACTGGATTAGAAAGAATTCCTTCACCTGGAAATCATTCCTTTGTTGAGGTGAGGACTGAGTCAGCCTCAGTTTCACTGATAGAGAACTGGGCTGTTATTCTGTAAACACACATACACACTTAAAAAAATAACTGATCAGTTTAAATGCAAGCAATTGTTTATCCGTAAGAAGTTAAGACACAAGTATTTTCATAAAGAACAGAATCCATTAGCCTTAAACACCTAAATTTGAAATCCAAATAGTTAAGTAATTGAGATAGTCTCACTATTTAGCAATTTAATTGCTAATTGATTGCATCCCTTCCTATTTAGGGAATTGTGCTGAAATTTCAACAAGTTTAAACCTGAAATATGCCAAATGAGAACAGTTTTCTTAAGTGGGATGTAGAATTACAAACCGCAAAGCAAATGTCCTCATTTACCCAACTGAACTTTCTTTCTGAAGCATCCTTTGCAAACAAAAAGAGGAATACATGCACTTCTTGATACAGATTTGCTGGTCTCCAATCACTGACTTACATTATGTCTGGAAGGCTATTCTTATTATTTTCCACATCATTATCAGTATTGTGTTTATGTACATAAACATTTACACATATATGTACAGTCGTATTCTTTCCTTAGATCAGTTACAATAAAGTTAAAAGAAACCAATCCAATTAAGATCAGCAAAGGCTTGAGCATAGGTGCTCTTTATGAATTTTAAAAACCTCTAACTAAAATGTAGCCCTAAAATATATGAACTGAAGCCAGATGTTGATCTGAAATGCCCCTCAGACGTGTCTAAGATGTTTCTGCAGTCAGAAAAGACTGCCTTGAACAGAGATCCCCCAACGACGTTGATGTGTCACCACTCTGAAGCAATGAGAAACCAAACACCGTCTTTATGGTAACCAAACTGTGAGTTCACTGCAACGCCAGCTATGAAACAAGGTGCAGGAGGATGGATTAGAGACTGTGCAGGTGTGGAAAGTGTTAATTACCAAGAGCCATAATCATGCAACAATTTTAAAGAACACAGTCAGGGCCTGGAAACAAAAGACAGCATTATTTATCTCCAGAGCTGCTGAATGCTCTATGAGAAATTACAGCCAACACCAAAAGGCAGGCAGTTGGGGTCAGGCTGAAGCAGTGCTAAGCCTCTGTTGTTACAATTAATCTGATCCTAACTTTTCTGCTCCAATAGCTGTGGTTACACTGAACAAGGCAAAAAAGAAAAAAAGTCACTTGACTCATGGTCACTTTGAGGTCAGGATTTCACAAAAGCTTTTTCCTCAAGTATACAGTATTGGATAATGTTGAGTGACAATAGCAGGGAAGTTGTGAAGGTTAAAAAGAGAGAGAGTAGTAAAAATACTTCCACAAAATAAAACAAAGGAAAAGGCAAAGAGTAAGGGGAAAAATTAGTTCAAAGGCACATAACAGTTCTTCATGGTTTTTCTTCCAGGAACTATTTATCTTCCCACTCAATAGGAGCAATTCCCATTTGGCTACCAAGAAGAAAGGCTCAAGATCAGATGTGTCTCTGACTGACAATACTTGCATTTTAAGGAATCAACTATTGGATTTCTGGTCTTTACAGTCAAAACATTTTTTGCTAACTAAATGCAGAAATAACTTTACTTTTGAGCCAAATACATCCCTCGGGCAGGCTCAGTAAAGTCAATACCTTCACAACATGAAAGAATTTGGCTCAGAATATTATGAGCTGTTTGTATCTCTGTCTACACAGGCTGCTGCAATAACTGACAGTAGTGGATAATAGTTTTGAGCTATCTGGAAGAGATTTAAAATTATTGTAGGGTTTTGTTTTTTTGTCTGCAGTTATTTGTAGTCCCCACTGAAATGGGTTTTGATAGAAGGGCTTCAGTCAACGACGGCTCTGAGGGAACAGTCCAACTCCCACAGATTTCATTAAATGTTGGACGTGTATTTCAAACAAGACTTATTTATGCAATATAAAGTCTTCCCAATTACACAGTATATTATACAGTGAAAATTATGGAATGTTTTCTTCTCATAAAATACGCCACATGATATGGTGCTAAAGACAGAGTGAAATTATAGAAATAGAGTCTTTCCCTCCCGCACACCAACAAGAATTACAATAGTTTGAGTAACAGAAGGCAAAATTCATTTGTAAGCCAAGTTCGTGTACTATTGGATCCTAAAAATAGCCTGGAGAATCTTCAGAGAGTTTTCAATAAATGAGTATGTTAAATCTGAACCGTATGTACTGGTCACTGGAATGCTTTCCCATTCTGCTTTATTTTTGGGAAGCAAATGCAAAAGATTCCCAAACATGTACATGTAGCAGGCAAACTGAAATGTGGAGATGGTGCACCTTCCATCTACCTTCTTAGTAGTAAAGGATCCAGACTCACTCTCTCTCTCTTGAAAAGATCTGCTCTGTTCCACTAAAATGTAGAGACAGAATCATATGATTGAAGACCTGGTGACATAAAGAAACATGAGGTGTCCTGAGGGACCACATGGTCCTTCAACTACTCTTTCAGTACTGAAGCAAAAAGTGAATATGCTGATTTTTTTCTCTATATTTTTGTGGAACAAGACTATTTTTCTAATTTTACAAATGAGAGACTAAAACTTAACTGATTTGTTCATGGTCTAAAAGAAAGTCCACGACAGTGTAAAGAACTGAAATAAACTTTCCCAAACACCAGCTGAATATTTAAAGTATCAGTTCATTCTCTTTAATGAGGTATTACAGATTTTTTAATAGATTTATGTGCTCAGTTTATCAGTATTTTACTGTATTGAGAATCCAACAGTCTTCTACCGAGTCTAACAGATATACAATAGTCTTTTTTTTAAGGGGGAAATATACCTACAGATTATTAGGGTCTATATTTATTGAAATTAAAAATTCTGTTTTTCTAGTGTGGATTTTCAAGACTAATCAGACTCATGGGAACTTTCACCCCAACATGTACTTTTATTTATATAAGCATATTTTCCTACAAATAAAATTTCCTTTTAAGAAGTAGAATTAACAAAGTAATTTCAAATAAATTCTTATAGGGTGTCTGTGAGTAAAGTTGTGAGAAAGCTATTTTGTAATTGCCTTCCAAACGTTTTTTATCTTGAAGGCACGAGACACCGACACTGTTGGAAACTGGACACTGAGCTAGATTAACTGCTGTTCTGATCCAATGAGGCTATTTCTATCTTTCTGTATTTGCAGCTGAAAATTTTTCCATGGTCAGATGACTGTTGAGGTTGCTTGTTTTATTTTTCCCCATGCTTTATTTCTGTTATTTTAACAAAGACACCAGAAGACAAACAAAGAAATGACAGGCAGTTAACTGGAGAGGACAGAAGATGACTATCATGCTGGTTTAGTTAACACTTCAGCTTGGGATCACAAAAAGGGGTAGAAGACCTAGTCTCTCTTTTTCAGCCACTGAAGTTAAGAATGTGAGCAGCCCACGCGAAAACAACTGCGATATATCCTACTATGTCTGCTTTCCAAAACAGGGAAAAACACTTTTCTCACAGGGGCATCCTGGTTTTTGCAGAAAGTGCCACAGAATAGGAAAAGCATTATCATAGATTCAGTGGAAAACAACCAGCAGCTCATTCTCAACATGTCATATGGAACTCAATCAAAGCAGCTCACTAAAATCCAAGCCAATCCCTCCAATGAATGCATTTTAGTGGCATCTACCACTTTTTGTTATATTTAACAGTCACAGAATAAATGCAGCTGGACATACAGCAGCATCAGTGCTGGGGAAAGGTAAGGTAACTCTTGCCCAAGGTTTACATTGTGATATTTAGCATACAAACTCCAATTTTGAATTTTATCTTATTGGTAAATACATCACTTTAGTAAGAACAAAGACTGCAAGATTCTGAGCATGTGTAGCAGTTTGAGCTGGGATTTAATTCAGATAATTATTGCCTATCTTGGCCTTAAGTGTACAATTTGATTTAATTGAATGTTTCCCTGTAGCTTTCTATAGCCTCGCTGTAAAGTGCAGGGATCTGCCACCAGGCACCTGAGCACAGGATCCAAACTCTCAGTCTGTGTCCGTGACCACTACAGACAAAACCAGTGCACAACAAGTTTGGGTACTGTATGCCAGGAAATGAATCCCCTCTCACTGAAGTGTTCTCTTTTCTCCAGGGAAGCTGAGGAAACAACAAGAACTCAGGGGTTTGACTTTCAGGGGGTAGTTTTTTAGACCGACTGTTGAATTTGTGCACATTGATGATAAGAAGATTCATACTTCCTCTACACGGCATTAAGCTAAGTTTGAAGCTGCCCCTGAAACCCAGCAATGCGTCTGTGCAGTTCAGCTCCTGACTCAAACAACTAAGTGCTATGAATTAGAAACCATTGTCATTCTTTCAGAATGTGGATTAAATTTTATTTCATAAACTGTTTTAAGGATTTTCTTACCTTCCCTCTCTCTCATTTGTAATCTTATAACATTCTGGGTCAGCTACAACACATGCTTGCATGGAAATGAACTATTAGGAAGTTATTAGTATTTAGGGTAATTTTGCTGACATTAATGCAATTTAGAAGCAGAATAAAAGGAAGCAGTACCAGTGCTACACTCCAGCTCACCCTAAGCAAAGCTGTGAGCCAGGCTGATGATCCACAGACCCCACAGAGTGCCTCTGAGCTACAATGCTTGTTGGAAAACCTGCTGCATGTTAGAGCTGCTTTTCCCTTGTTGCACTGAGCAATCAGAGAGAAAGGCAGCATTGGTGTCTTGGTTAGCCATCTGCATCAGCTGAAGGATGCACATGAAAATTTTAAAGGTTGCACAGTAGAAATGAAAGTTAATGTTCATTTCTGATCATGCAAGAGTTACATGGTGGACAGGAACATGCAGGAGACTGAGGTGGTAAAGATAAAATGCTACATATAGGTCAATACACCCACACCCAAAGTTTAATTTCAGCTTTAACAGGCTCTGTTAGCTTATGCATTACTTTCTCTATGAACTGTTTTGAGAAAAGTTTCATGGTATTTTTAAATTGCATTTGGAAGCTTCACTCTTTCAATTTTAAGTGGGTACATTCAAGTGGATACACTGTACCCCACACTATCTTTGTCCGATTTATTCCACAGGGAACTGACTTGGAAAAAAGGAATTTGTGACATCTATGTCCCATAGAACTTCCAGGAGTATTTTGAGGAGGAAAGACTTTATATTTGATCAATTTTCACTTCTGATTTCACTCAGGATTCCATAGAGACAATTGAGTTATTTCACTGCTCCTACACTTTTGTCACTCTTCAGGTCTTAAAATGTAAGCAGGGATTAGAAGATATTAAATGGATGTGCTTATTATTTTTTATTATGTTCCTTAAGTGGGAAATCTACCTAGAGAAGTCTGCTTTATTTCACAGGCTGTTGTGGAAAGATAGGGAATGTCTTTCAAAAGTAGCAATTCTGGTAATTTGAGCAGCAGATAGGAGGTTCTTGGCAATTGGGCAGGTCAGCAATGTTAATCATTGGGAGTTCTGGTCAACCGAGGAAGGAAACCAAGATGCATTAGCTTGTCTTGGTGGTGTCAGATGGCTTTGATTAGCAGCCATTGAACAAGGATGTTACTGTGCTTGAGAGCAAGTTTTAGTCAATTAATTTTTATGTATCCTGCAGAAAGTTGTCAACTAAAGGCAAAATGATTAAAGAAAGTAATTATCTGGTAATACCATGCACCATACCAAAACTCTGGCTAAACTTCGCAAACTCAAATTTGTATAAGGATCCATATAAGTTTCTGATACATATAATGGTAATCCCAGTCACTGAATCTCAAGGTAGGCACAGCTAAAGAAGCCACAAAATCAACTTAGCTCCTGTGGGAACCGGAGTGCATAAGTGAAAAATTGGTGTCACTTCTTCCACCCCGAGGAAGGCTTCAGAAAGCTCTATAATGTGCAAGACTTGGACTTTTGAAAAGTGATAAAGTAGTCCCAGAAATACTTGTTCCTTGCTATGGAAGATATACTCCTCCCAGTTGTGCATAATGAGAGAGAAACTGCAATGAAGTGACCTCTATTACTAAGCAAAAACATACTGTCCTTTCTGTGCAGGCAGGCATGAGGAGAGCAAGGGAAGGGAAGGAGCCACAGAACCCTTCTCCTTTTGTCATGCATGAAAGGAAGAGAGGTCAAGTTGTCACAGCCGCTCCCCTAAAACCACACTGCAGCCACATCCCATCAGCACACACTGCATGCAGTCAGTGCCTCTGCTGCAAACTGGGCACTGCAGGAGGTCAGGGGGGCTCTTGGAACAGAAGGCAGGGCAGCAGGATCCAGGGAACAGGTTAGTTTAGATCAAACAGCCTTATACCACAGCAGAAAAGGAGCAAGTCCCTGTGCCATAACCAGACAAGCAGATTTACCTGGAAGGCCTTTTGGTTTTGATTTCCTACTGGCATCAGCTTTGCTGTGTCTTCATTAAATGCTTCTAACTCTATGCTTTATTGGCAATATTGGGAAGGGCAAGGGTTGCATGTGACTATCCACATCCTGTGTTCTACATTATTTTTGGCATGGAGGTTATTTAGAAGACAGTACTGTCACCAACCATTGTCCTCTGCTCAGAAGAGCAGTCACAGTTCAAAACATATTCAGCATGGGACAGATACACCTGCCTATCATCATCACTGGTTTAAAGAATTACATGACTCATCGAGTCTTCAATCAGGAACCTATTTTAAGCCTCACTGCCATTAATTGTGACTGATTTTCCTGTGTAAAACAGCAGACTTCTGCAAGTGCTCAGGAAACACTGCAAGATGGGGTTGGTCACTCAGAAGCCAGGTACAGTGAGATAAGCCTGAACATACTAAAATGTAATAGGTCAGAGTTACCCTTTTGCTAGAACAAAGCTACTCTTTTTTTCAAAGTTTTAATGCTTTTTTAACGGGGCCAAGTTTGTTACTGTCACTAGCAACGATATGCAGTAGTGTGAAAATCCAGGCCAATTTCTCTGTCTTACAGATAAAGTCCTGCTAAGGAAGCAAAACAAGGCCTCTTCAGAGTCATACAGAAAATATATATAACATTCATTTTCTGGATTTGAAGATCACCATGACAACGTAGAGGAAGAATTTTTAGGAGTATGAGTTGAGGAATTGATAGTGTCAATATAAAAAAGAAATGACATAGAAATACTTCACTGGAAGTTTTAATACAAAAAGTCTATCACTTGCGAGATTTTTTAAAAGAGACAGGACTAAGCAGTTGAAGTAGCTTGTAGTAAAAATCTTGCTGTAAGGATTAATGAAGGCACCTTCAGAAAAGGTCTTTATCATTGCAAAAGTTCTCAAAGCTACCAGACATTCAAGATTTTTTCCTATTTTCTTCCCCCTCCTATAACTGCATAAAGAATTGACATTCTACAAGCTTGGAGAGTGTTAGATTCAATTTTGTAGCCTAATGAAAAAAGGATTAAAACTATTGCCCTATATGATTACATGGTTTAAATGCACTGAATTTATATCACTAAAACCACTGAAGCAGAGCTAAGGGGAAGGGATTCCTTAATTAAATCTCCATTAATTTCATATCTGATAAAATTA